ATTGGAAGTATTTTTTAGAGAGCGATGGGCAGCTATGAAGAGCGACTGAGTCAATATTTATTTTCTTAGTATGCATGTAATTATATTATATCTATTAGAGATAATCCGAGCAAATTTCGGTAGGCACTGATCAATATAATTATTACATAGCTTTATCCTGCTATATATGTGCGGTATAGGTTTATATACCACTAACACAATTCCATCGACTTCTGTTGTGAGCTAATAATAGTTTTCATCTTCTAAATCTAAACCTCAAACAAACTTTTCTGCATTTTTACATTTTCATTCATTTCTTATTTAAAAAAAATTCTACAGCCTGGCCTTAAAACATGCTAGAGACGAGTAATATTAATGGACAATCCCAGTAAACCAGTTCTACTGTGTGTTTTTATACTGCTTATGTAATGAGAAACATTTACATCTAAATATTGTGAATATTATCAGCCAGACTGACTTCTAATAGAAATGGAATGACTGCAAAGGGCTCTTCAGTCCAGTTAACTGCAATGGCGCCACTTTGAAGGCATTCTGTGACATGTGATATTTATAGATCCCTGCTAACAAATATTTAATGAACCTTAGCAAGCTCTATGGAATGACTGAACAAAAATGTCCTGTTGATTCATAAGGGATTACTGCAGAATTGGTGCATTTTTGGGGGGATTTTAGAGTTGAGCTAATCTTCCATTTAAGATGTTGCTCTGCAATAAATTCTAAAACTAAATGTAAATATCAGTGCTATTCTATTTGCACCTACCGACAACATTTTTACTAAATTTACAAAAATTTGATTTCCTAATCATACAATAATGAGCTCGTGTGATCATTTCTTCATGGAGGCTTGTTTTTATTGACCTGGATACTACAGTGTAAATTCTGCACACAAAGACTGCTATGAGACAGTTGATCATAACAGCCACTAGAGGGCGTCCAAATGCTCAATAACGCACAATGAAGGCGGCCGATAGAGTAGCAACAGCGCCCTCTTGAGTCCAGCTAGAAAACCAAGCAGCGCTAGCAGCGCAGCAGCAGCAGCAGCAGCTAGTAGTCCTGGGACAGTTGTAGTCCAAGTAGCTTTCCAGAGAGTTGTGATGGTTTTAAATCTTTCACTATGTCTGAAATGCTGCTGAAAGATATGGAAGAGATTTCTCTCGGGCCTGTTAAAATGGACGAGCAGAAGGAAAATGGACGGAGTTTTCTCCTGGTGGACGAAAACGAAAGCTTGCAGGTTTGTTTTTGTTAGCTTCGGTGTTAGCCATCCAGCTATTAGGTAAACAGCACATGTAGGGTCTTAGTTGTTTTTATACACTTTGATAGATCAATTCACGAGCACGCTAATGATGATCTCGGTGCTGGATACTGCTGTTATGTTATTTCTCTAACATGATATTCTGATGTTCTTTGGTAATACCATGGTACACGGATGTAGCAGCTATTCGCTGTGATCTATGAGATAGACACCCAACAATGAGAGTCAACAATGAGTGTCGTTTCATAGGCTATTTTATAGTGTTTTCAGGAACCAGCCTAAAAGTGATCGATTGCTGTCACTTTGAGAGATTGTTACTGTATAGAGACCCAAAAATAAAACTTCATTATGTACTTACTCTTTTGTTGTTTCAAACCCATATGACTTTCTTTCTTTAGTGGAACACAAAAGAAAATTCACGACTGATGACATAATTGTAATTTTAGGTGAACTGTCTCTTTAAGATTCTTACAAATGGTGATAGACAGACAGACAGACAGACAGACAGACAGACAGATGGATAGATAGGTGGGGCAGGCATCCAAGAGAAACCATTAACACAGAATTCTGCAAACTCATTGTGAAATTACAGCAGAAAACGTCCAGTAGCCCACACAGGCCGAATTAGAATTACAATTCTGCATGCATCTAAAACAGAATCTCACAGAATTGCTATGTTTGAAAGCATTAAGAACTGAACCGTCATTATTATATGTGTATGTGTAGGTAGGGCCGGCCTATACATGTTAGAGGTCTTCTGTTAAACATTGTGTTCTCCAACTGTTCGCAAATGTTTTAATTGGTTACATTTGTCTAAATCATTTAATATTATATTGTTCTATTTACATATATTGCTTTGGTAGTATGGAATTGAAAATTGAAATGGACTGAATTGGTAAACAGATGATGGATGGATGGATGGATGGATGATAGGCAAAATGATAGATAGATAGATAGATAGATAGATAGATAGATAGATAGATAGATAGTAAAAGTAAACCTTTTACTCTTTCTCTCTTCCAGGTGAAGAACGAAGCAGAGTTTTTGCAGAAGTTGGGCTGCAGTGCTGCTCAGGGAGTCAAAGTGCTTTCTATCTTCGGTAATACGGGCGACGGCAAGTCCCACACTCTCAATCACGTGCTTTTCAGTGGTGAAGAGGTGTTCGTCACGTCTCCTTCTCCGTCCTCATGCACGGTGGGCGTATGGGCCGCTTACGAGCCGCACCTGAACCTGATCGTGCTGGACACGGAGGGCCTGCTCGGGGCCGCCAGTCAGCAGAACCGCCGGATGCGCCTGCTGCTGAAGGTTCTGGCCGTATCAGACGTGGCCATCTACCGCACGCGGGCTGAGAGGCTGCACAACGACATGTTCCAGTTCCTCGGCAGCGCGTCGGCCGCTTACCTGAAGCACTTCACACCTGAGCTCCGCGCTCTGTCTAGCCGCTGTGGGCTAGACGTGCCTCTCTCCAGCCTGGGACCTGCTGTTATAGTTTTCCAGGAGACTCTTCGCACTCAGCTGCTAGGCCAGGGTAAGTCAGAGCAAGCAGACTTTCACTGTTTACAAGGCCTGCAGTGTTTATCAATATGAATACAGCATTTTTCTGATACATGTTGTTGCCAAAGGCTGTTGTACGACTAGCCTGGGGGCAAAGGGATTGCTGTTTAAACTTGGGTCTGCACACCCTCATGGGGCCTAAACACATAGCCAGGGGGGTCTTTGAAAAAGTCCTGAATTTTAGACTAGTGGAGAATCCCACAGGAAAGATGTAAGTTGTCAGTCAAACCAAAGGCTTTATTTCAAACTCAATTGTTTCATCGTTCCTGCTTTTATTTCTGTCTGCTTAGTGATGAGAATTTCAATTTGTTTAGTTGTTTCTCTGTAGTCAAATGACAAATCTTTATAGAGATTTCATTTGAGTCAGTAATACATGGGCCACAATGCTCATTTTTATCTTATTTTAATCAAAAATACATAATAATGTAATGCATACAAACAAAGACTTAAATGCATGATGAACATGTTTTTTTGTGTTTTTTTTATTCATTTTGAACTGTCCTGATGTCATAATAAAGAAACATTTTTGACATTTTGACAAAACAAGATCGATATAATCATTTAATATTATTTCTATCTATCTATAATTTAATATTATTTATATCTATCTATCTCTAATCTATATATATATATATATATCAAAAGATTAACTGCGATTAATCGCATCCAAAATAAAAGTTTTTGTTTACATAATATATGTGTGTGTACCTTTATTATGTAACCTATATATAAATACACACCCATGCATTTATATATTTAAGAAAAGTATGTTACATTTATATATTAAATATATTTATATATATATAATATAAATTATATGAATATAAATATATACATGTAAATAAATGTAAATATTTTCAAAATATATTAAAAAAAAAACTTTGGATGCGATTAATCGTTTGACAGCACTATATATATATATATATATTCATTTTATTTTATTCAAAATATACTGTTAAATATTTTAAAACTTTTAACAAATATTTTGTACACTCAAAATATATAAGGAATATATTTTAAGGAAATAAGGAAAATATTTTTACTGTTTACTTACTGGTTAGAACACATGACATTTTCAGGTTTCGTTATTAAATATTTAGTTTTCTTGAAAATCGTATATATATATTTTTTAATCTTATGAAACCAAGATGAATACAAAGAGATAAAGATATTACATAAGATATAATGCTATATTGCATCTTCAGGTGCTTTATTGCTTCTATAAAAGGTTGTTATGCAATAAAAAAAATTTATTAGGACACATTTTCAAAGAAATACATTTTTTAAATCATTTGTGTAAAAGAACAATCAAAACGTTGGAGGTAGCTTAATGGTTAAGCAACTAGTTATCTAACACAGATTGCAGGAAAATCCCAAGACAGGGTGACTCAGGTGTGGAGTGTTACAAAGATCACAATACTGCTCAGTTATAATTATGCCCTTGGGTAAACTCCAGGTTTTCAGCATGCTGTAAATCATGGTACATGAAAAATGCATAAAAATCTTTAAATGCCTGTAAAACTTCTTTCATCTTTTAATTTTTATTTTGAAACAATTAAATTAGTGCCATCCAATGAAGTGTGTCAGGCTAGAGAAATATGGGTTTGGTTTTCTTTATCCAGATGGCTCTGTCCTGGGGCAAGCAGACACACTTCTGCAAAAGCGCTTCCATGACTTGGGCCAGAGCACAGACGCCTTCAGCTCTGTTCAGTACGTCGGCACCCAAACCATCACTCCCCCCACAGACTACTCACAGTTACTGCAGATTGTCAATCAGCAGGTGAACAACACATCCCAGCGAGCCCCGCGCCAGCCTGCCATTGTGTTCAGTGCATTGCAGGTAAACAGCGCCTCAAACATTTCTTTGTGTGTGTGTGTAAAGCGACCCTAAAAAGAATTTAGACACTAAAAGCTTTCATATTTGGTTTGATATTTTGTATCTAATTCAATTACAGTAAATTCATGTATTTAAAGGAGTAGTTCAATCAAAAACGGATAATGTCATAATCACAAAAGAGGAAGTTTAGCAGAATGTTCACAATGCTCTTTTCCATACATTGAAAGTAAAGGGTGACCAGGGAATTTCAAGTTCCAAAAGGGACTAAAAGCAACATAAAAGTGGTTCATTTGACTCTGTACCTTTAAATATACATTACATTCACAACCATTCAAAAGTTTGGGGTTAAAATTATTATTATATATTTTTTTACATTTAAATGTAAAAATGTATTACATTACATTACATTTATTCACGTCTAAGATTGCATTAAATTGATCAACTTTAAAATTGGAACAAAATAGTGGCTTTTAAGATTTCTATTTGAAATAAATCCTATTATTTCGAACTTTCTGTTGAAATGAAAAAATGCATCAGTTTCCACAATAATATTAAGCAGCATGATTGTTTTCAACATTGATAATAACAAAAATAAAATTCTTGATTAAATTAAGAAATTAAATTTGTTAAATAAAAGTAAAACCATAAAATAATTATTGTTTCTTGAAATAAAATAAATTTTAACTGAAATAAAATAAAATATAAAAAATCGTAAACTTCTTTTATTTCAACATTTTGCCAAGCCAACTATTCTCATTTTTATTAAGCTTATCTTAACCTACAATAACTATACTAAGGTAAAAAAGTAAAACTTTAAATTTAAAATGAAAACAAAATATAAAAATAAAACCTAGTGCTGTCAAACGATTCATCGCGATTTATCGCATCCAAAATAAAAGTTTTTGTTTACATAACATATATAAATGTACTGTTTATATTTATTATGTATATATAAATACACACACATGCATGTATATATTTAAGAAAAAAAGTGTAATGTTTATATTTGAAAAATATTTTTATATAATAAGTTATATGAATATAAATATATACATTTAAATATTTTCTAAATATATGTATGTGTGTGTATTTATATGTACATAATGAATATACACAGTACACACACATATATTATGTAAACAAATATGTTTATTTTGGATACGATTAATCGCGAATTAATCATTTGACAGCGCTAATGAAAACTAATTCAAAATATTATTAAAAATCACCAAATCAGCATATTAAAATGATGTTTGAAGGATCATGCGACACTAAAGCCTGGTGTAATGGTTGCTAAAAATTCAACTTTTCCATCACAGGAATAAATTATATTTTAAAATATATTAAAATCGAAAAATAAAAAAAATTGGAAAAATATTTTATAATATTACTGTTTGTACCATATTTAAAATCAAATAAATGCAGCCTCGGTGAACATGGTGACTTCTTTCAAAAACATCTTACCAATCTTTTGAACGGTAGTGACTCAAGTGTCCTAAACTACTTTTTGGGGTCAGTGTATGTATGTATGTGTTCACCTTTGTCCACTGAGCATGTTTCTGAAAACACGCTTCACTGGACTTCACTACTCTGCTCTCTCTCAGGCCTTGAGCAACAGATTCTGTGGCGAGATCTCAGATGACAAAATCAGCATATGCTCCTTTTTTCCTGATGAATATTTCACTTGCCCATCAGTCTGTCTCAGCTGCAAGTAAGTCCACACATGCTCTGAGCTGTAGATTGAATGCTGTTTTTGTTTATTTACATACAGGTTGAATGCACTGATGCATTGTGTTTGATGCATAATAAATCAAGAAAATTGCTGCATTGTCACATCAGACTCTAATTTCTTCACATCAACACTGAGCCACTTCATAATTTGATGAATTGCTGTTATAAAGAACTAGGATCTCTATTCAGCATGTAAAACTCATGGAAATGAGTTGCACATGAATGTAATTAGATTGTTTGTTGAGTTGTTTGTTATTGTTTTAGCTTGTGCGTGACTTAATAGAGCAGTACTCTTCAAGAGTACTTAAGAACTAGTGAATCATAACTAACCTCTCCAAAATTCCATGGCTTTAGTGTTCGGTGTAAGAATGGCATGAACCACCAGAAAGACGGGGTCTCACACATGGCCGATGGATTATGTCAGTATGCCCACCAATACAACAATAAAGTTCTCATTTGTAAGGTAAGAACTCACTGTCATGGCTAGTTCCCTTTCGAGGGAACTTCGAACTGCGTCCTCTAGAGGTCGCTATGGGGGGACACCTTCAGTGTGACCAGTGTCTGAAGCATATATCTAAAAACGACAATAACATTGGCTGGCGACAACCTATGACGTCATTACCCTGCGCGATCACAGTATAAAAGGGCGCCGGGATAACACGTCATCCTCTTCTTCGTCTTCACTGACTGTTTGTTTATGTTAGCGTTAAGCTAAACACGACTAGGAGTGCATGTTTCTCGCCAGAGGCTTTGCTATGATACCTCCAGTTTCACACGGCTCGCGTGCTGTGTGTGTGTGTGTGGTGAAGAGCAAGCGCGTTCAGCTCTCGAGGGAGTTGGATGCACTCTGCATTCATTGCTTATTTCTTCTGAGGGATAAGCATGAATTGAACGCGCTCGTCTCACAAGGAGGCAACTTGTGCTCATCGTGATGCATTCGCGGGACTACTGAGGGGGATGTGAGCATTTCACCATTTACCCGAGTTTGTAGATTGCGTTTGCATGAGTTTGTTCGCCTCTCGCGGGAATAGCTATGCATTCACGGCAGCGTTTTTCGTTTGCGCTTGATTTCCGAGGTAATCTAGCTGTTGGGCGGAGCGTGTTTAGCTCCCGCGGGAGCTGAATGCATGCTGTGCATTGCGGTCGCGGTGAGAACATGGAAAGGACCTGACGGGAAATTTCTCCCTATCAGTAATTTCCTTTTGTTTATATAGTAAATGTATAGTGTGGATCTGTCTGCAGATATTGGACAGATGGTTTATATCATGTCCTTCTCAGATAACCACATTATACTGCACTCCGGCTTGAGTTCAAAAAATAAAAAAATAAAAGAGCCTTCCCGATCTTCATTTGGAGATCGAGGAGGTTTGGAAAAATCCATTCTCGTCCCACATCCACAGATTCCAGCATACTAGTTATGCCAACATCGAGGGAATGCATGAGAATGGTTATGAGAAGATGCCACGGACTACTGAGGGGGATGTGAGCATTTCACCATTTACCCGAGTTTGTAGATTGCGTTTGCATGAGTTTGTTCGCCTCTCGCGGGAATAGCTATGCATTCACGGCAGCGTTTTTCGTTTGCGCTTGATTTCCGAGGTAATCTAGCTGTTGGGCGGAGCGTGTTTAGCTCCCGCGGGAGCTGAATGCATGCTGTGCATTGCGGTCGCGGTGAGAACATGGAAAGGACCTGACGGGAAATTTCTCCCTATCAGTAATTTCCTTTTGTTTATATAGTAAATGTATAGTGTGGATCTGTCTGCAGATATTGGACAGATGGTTTATATCATGTCCTTCTCAGATAACCACATTATACTGCACTCCGGCTTGAGTTCAAAAAATAAAAAAATAAAAGAGCCTTCCCGATCTTCATTTGGAGATCGAGGAGGTTTGGAAAAATCCATTCTCGTCCCACATCCACAGATTCCAGCATACTAGTTATGCCAACATCGAGGGAATGCATGAGAATGGTTATGAGAAGATGCCACCTGTTGAAGAGATGCTGGCCTGCTATCTCTCCATGGGGGAGACATCTTCTCTTAAGGCTCCCTCCTTGCCATCCAAACCCCTTCAGGAAAATAAATCTTGTTTGAATGTTAGGGCATACGCGGCAGCAGGTCAGGCTGCAGTCTCGTTGCACACCATGGTGGTGCTTCAGGCTTTTCAGGCTGATCTGCTGAAAGACCTGGATAAAGTCTATCCCCTGATGAGGTGGCTGAGTTGCATCGCACCACGGATCTTGCTCTCCGTGCCGCTAAGCAGGCCGCCACTGCCATTGGCAGATCAAAAAAAAGGCAGCCATGGTGGTTACGGAGAGACATCTGTGAGTGAGTCTGGTGGATATCAGGTCGAAAGAGAAGGGCTTTCTTCTTGATGCGCCGGTTTCCCCTTCTGAGCTTTTCGGCACTTCCGTCGAGACGGTGGTCGTGAGGTTTAAGAAGGCCAAGACATGCTCGGCTGTCTTTAAATCCTTTATTCCACGAGGGTCCAGGCTTCGGACTTCGCCACCAGCCTATATCATGAGCCTGAGTCATGTACGGGAGCCATGGTTGATGAGTACGATCCATTTTTATCTACTCTACTGCTAGTTCTTGTGTATTTGATGCTAGCCTTTCTCTGCAGCACTACTCGGACCTGTTCTGTTTTTCTGACTTTAGGTTTGACCCACCTACTAAGTCAGGACCTCCTGCTGTTGACCAATTACAGTGATAGTTTCACTCATCGGTTCTGGTTCCAGGCTGGTGATAGTCCTCATGGTGATAGGGCTTCTGAGGAAGTATCCCAGCATCAGGTCCCCAGTATAACGCTGCAACCTCAGGACCTGTGGGTCCTTCTCGTGGGCTAGTACTCTTCTGAGTACATGCTTCGCGACATGCTCCCTATCCTCTGGCCAGGTGCGAACTACTCATTTCTCACCCTGAGGGGTCTCCCAAGATTTGAATCGTTCCTTAACCTTCATGCACGTTCTCTGAGCTAGAACTCCTCTCGCTGACGCATTGAGGAGCTCAATGCTCCATAGACAGTCGGGCCCGTGGGTCCTCACTGTCACACTGTCCTTATGGTTGAACCAGTAAATCACCCCTCTGCGGAGTGGGCTGGAGTACACTGCGTTCCCTGAGGTAAGAGGGATTTGTGTTTCTGTGGGAACCCCTCCTTTGTGCTTCTGCTCTGAGGAGCAGTAAGCTCTATACACATGAATGGTTATTGGGTCCCGCTATTTCTTCAGCTATTTCTTTCTTCTGGTCGAGCGGAGAAGTGCTCCCCTCTCTGTGAGGGTTAGCTATGAGACGCTCCGTGGCAGTGACATCAGGTAGTTGGGCCACTTGCTGCTTCCCTGATAAGCTGCCTCTATTCGGGTCAAGCCAGGCAGTGCTCCCCTTACCTCAGAGGGTTGTCTTTGAGCCTGCCGCTCCCGATTGAGTGTCTGAGGATCTGAGGACTTCTGGGCATCTGTGAGCAGATGCTTCGGAATCTTTTTAAAGCCATGCTATGGTAAGTGCACACGCTAAGCTTCTGTGCACTTTCTAAAATCCACATAGTGGTAAGTGTGCACGCTAAGCACTCTGCGCACTTTCTAATATCCTGTATGGGAAGGGTTGATTTCACCGCTCCGTGGGCTGTTCTCATGGTGGTGTTTAGCAGTGCTCCCCTCTATCAGAGGGTTGCCTATGAGCATGTTACCCCTTTTCTGAATTCGGAGTTCTCCTCTCACGTGGAGAGTTGAGTTCTCTGTTTTCCCAGAGCACCTGGAACCAGCAACATCAAGCGAGCTAGGCCCTTCCTCTGCCTCCCTGATGCGCTGAGTTTTTGGCTAAGCTTGCAGTACTCTTACCCTTCAGGATTTCTAACAAACATGCTGTAGGTCGAGCCCCCTCTCGGCTGAGAGCTGGGTGTTATGCTCCCTCAGCTAGGTAACTTACTGCTAGCCATTCCAGCATTATACCATGAGGATGAGGTTTTATTTTTGTTTACGTTTTTTGTATTAATTTCTTTTAGTTCGTTTTTTCTTGTTTTATGTTTTTAATTTAAATTTGTAGTTTTGTTTTTTGTGAGCTTTTATTTTTTGTTTTGTTTCATCTTTATTTTTTGCTTAGATTTTTTTTTTGTTTGTTTAATTTTGGTTTTTTATATTTTTGCTTTACTTAATTTTTTAGTTTGTTTTATTCATTTGACTTTTTGTTGTACTATTAATATTCACTTTTGCGTTGCCAATATGCAGTTTTTCATGTAAAACAAATCACAATAAATTGAATTCAAATTGATTAAGACTTGGCGCTTAGATTTAATGAGATTTGCCACATTTTTACTGTTAATTGAGGTTTTAGATTAATCAGTTTGCAAAAACTGTCTTATATGGATTACATTTCTCAATTTCAAATGAAAGGATATTGAATGGATGCAAAGGATGATAAACCATTTCTTTTACCCATGCAGAGGTGCTATGAGAGCGGAAGAGAAGTGATGGTCATACCGAAAACATCTGCCTCCACAGATAACCAATGGTTTGGTTTGGCCAAGTATGCATGGTCAGGGTAAGTAAGATGGTTTTCTTATTGAAATTAGACGGGAAGAATGCTCTAAACCGTGGTCTTATTCTACAGTAGGGGTGGAAATCGGATGGTTCGTCACGATACGATACAATATCGATTCTCATTTGCCGATACTTCAAAAAATGATATGATACGATTTCGAAACAGGAGAATATCGATTAATATATCGATATTATTATATTATATATCTATTTTAAATAACCATCTACATTTTTATTAACTCACAAATGCAACCGAAACATATAAAATGAACATTTATCTTAAATTTTCACATCCTGTTCCTCAATTGGGACATTCACAACAAAAAATAGTACAGAAATGTAATAATCAAATGTAAAATAACACTGCATAGTCTTGACTGTATAGATTAAATATAGATGAATCCTTATTAGGGGTGGAACGATACATGTATTCGTACCGAACCGTCACGGTACGGACATCTCGGCATGAGGCCTTACAACGAATACAGGCAATTCACCCCGGTATCTTTAAAATCCATGTTATGGTAAGTGCGCACGCGAAGTCCCTGTGCACTTTCTAAAATCCACGCTGTGGTAAGTTTGCTCATCAAGCATTTTGCATTATTTCTAAAATCCTGTATGGTAGGGGCTACGCGGGCGGCTTCGTGCCCTTTCTTTGAGTCGTTTAGGCGTTCCACCTTGGGCACCACTCTACCTATGTATCCTCAGGATACCTACTTTAACAAGGTGTTGCTACTAGGGGTCTGTTGAGACAGTTCCTTCAGCAAGCTCATGCAGGGCAAGCAGTAGCCCCCTGGGTGACAGGCCAAGACCTGGTTACGCTTCTAGGCGCTTGGTCGTATCCCCTTAAAGGAATCTCTTCCTGATTCCAAGCCTTTAAGCTCTACCCTGGACCCAGGAGTCCTGGCCCTAACAGGTACGTTTATGGGGTATGTAGCTTAGGCTTTTGGCCATAAGGGATAATGTCACTGACAGCCATCTAACCGTCCAAGGGGCAACTCCCTTAAAACTTTGGTAGAGTTGGTACTTAGTGCTCGCCTGTGGTTTGGCATGCACTCCCCTCAGCATGGTGGCGTGGATATACCGTTCCCCATAGCGACCTCTAGAGAACGCAGTTTGAAGTTCACTCGAAAGGGAACGTCTCGGGTTATGTATGTAACCATGGTTCCCTGAGAAGGGAACGAGACACTGCGTCCTCTAGTTTCCTTGCCATGCTGCGGATGCAAGCTTTAGACGAAGAAGTGGATGACGTGTTATCCCGGCGTCCTTTTATACTGTGATCGCGCAGGGTAATGACGTCATAGGCTGTCTAGAGGACACAGTGTCTCGTTCCCTTCTCAGGAACCATGGTTACATACGTAACCCGAGATGTTCTCAAGGTCAAGATGAATGTTTTCAGGTTTTTTTGTGTGTTTTATTCAGTTCTTTGTTTTGTTTAAATTAGCATTCTTATTTTGATTAGTTTTGTTTTTTGTGTTTTTATTATTTATTTATTTTTTCTTTTATTTGTTTTGTTATTTTTTATTTTATTTTTATTTTTGTTTTTACTTTTCTATTTTTTATTTTTAGTTTTTTGTTTGTTCGTTTTATTTTTGTTTACGTTTTTTGTATTAATTTCTTTTAGTTCGTTTTTTCTTGTTTTATGTTTTTAATTTAAATTTGTAGTTTTGTTTTTTGTGAGCTTTTATTTTTTGTTTTGTTTCATCTTTATTTTTTGCTTAGATTTTTTTTTTGTTTGTTTAATTTTGGTTTTTTATATTTTTGCTTTACTTAATTTTTTAGTTTGTTTTATTCATTTGACTTTTTGTTGTACTATTAATATTCACTTTTGCGTTGCCAATATGCAGTTTTTCATGTAAAACAAATCACAATAAATTGAATTCAAATTGATTAAGACTTGGCGCTTAGATTTAATGAGATTTGCCACATTTTTACTGTTAATTGAGGTTTTAGATTAATCAGTTTGCAAAAACTGTCTTATATGGATTACATTTCTCAATTTCAAATGAAAGGATATTGAATGGATGCAAAGGATGATAAACCATTTCTTTTACCCATGCAGAGGTGCTATGAGAGCGGAAGAGAAGTGATGGTCATACCGAAAACATCTGCCTCCACAGATAACCAATGGTTTGGTTTGGCCAAGTATGCATGGTCAGGGTAAGTAAGATGGTTTTCTTATTGAAATTAGACGGGAAGAATGCTCTAAACCGTGGTCTTATTCTACAGTAGGGGTGGAAATCGGATGGTTCGTCACGATACGATACAATATCGATTCTCATTTGCCGATACTTCAAAAAATGATATGATACGATTTCGAAACAGGAGAATATCGATTAATATATCGATATTATTATATTATATATCTATTTTAAATAACCATCTACATTTTTATTAACTCACAAATGCAACCGAAACATATAAAATGAACATTTATCTTAAATTTTCACATCCTGTTCCTCAATTGGGACATTCACAACAAAAAATAGTACAGAAATGTAATAATCAAATGTAAAATAACACTGCATAGTCTTGACTGTATAGATTAAATATAGATGAATCCTTATTAGGGGTGGAACGATACATGTATTCGTACCGAACCGTCACGGTACGGACATCTCGGCATGAGGCCTTACAACGAATACAGGCAATTCACCCCCAATCCAGAAGGGGGCGCCCGCTGCAATGCAACACTGTTTGATAACCGGCCGCCAGCAGAAGAACAGCGAATGCCAACTTGAAAACAAAGCCCACTAGACAGTGACCATGTGCTGATTCTGAATGAGTCTCTCACAGACTGACAAAGGAGTATACTTTAAAGGGGTCATATGATGCGATTTCAATTTTTCCTTTCTCTTTGGAGTGTTACAAGCTCTTGGTGCATAAAGATGATCTGTAAAGTTGCAAACACTAAAGTCTCAAAACCAAAGAGATATTCTTTATAAAAGTTAAGAGTTAACCACGCCTACCTAAAACGGCTCGTTCTAACACGCCCCCACATGTCTACGTCACGATCTGGGAAGATTTGCATAACATCGCCCAAATGTTTGGGTGACAGGCCAAGACCTGGTTACGCTTCTAGGCGCTTGGTCGTATCCCCTTAAAGGAATCTCTTCCTGATTCCAAGCCTTTAAGCTCTACCCTGGACCCAGGAGTCCTGGCCCTAACAGGTACGTTTATGGGGTATGTAGCTTAGGCTTTTGGCCATAAGGGATAATGTCACTGACAGCCATCTAACCGTCCAAGGGGCAACTCCCTTAAAACTTTGGTAGAGTTGGTACTTAGTGCTCGCCTGTGGTTTGGCATGCACTCCCCTCAGCATGGTGGCGTGGATATACCGTTCCCCATAGCGACCTCTAGAGAACGCAGTTTGAAGTTCACTCGAAAGGGAACGTCTCGGGTTATGTATGTAACCATGGTTCCCTGAGAAGGGAACGAGACACTGCGTCCTCTAGTTTCCTTGCCATGCTGCGGATGCAAGCTTTAGACGAAGAAGTGGATGACGTGTTATCCCGGCGTCCTTTTATACTGTGATCGCGCAGGGTAATGACGTCATAGGCTGTCTAGAGGACACAGTGTCTCGTTCCCTTCTCAGGAACCATGGTTACATACGTAACCCGAGATGTTCTCAAGGTCAAGATGAATGTTTTCAGGTTTTTTTGTGTGTTTTATTCAGTTCTTTGTTTTGTTTAAATTAGCATTCTTATTTTGATTAGTTTTGTTTTTTGTGTTTTTATTATTTATTTATTTTTTCTTTTATTTGTTTTGTTATTTTTTATTTTATTTTTATTTTTGTTTTTACTTTTCTATTTTTTATTTTTAGTTTTTTGTTTGTTCATTTTATTTTTGTTTACGTTTTTTTGTATTAATTTCTTTTAGTTCGTTTTTTCTTGTTTTATGTTTTTAATTTAAATTTGTAGTTTTGTTTTTTGTGAGCTTTTATTTTTTGTTTTGTTTCATTCCTCGTGCATCCTACCTCTCTCATTTGGCACAAATCCAAATATTCCATAATATTTCCATGTTTGCGATGTATCTGAATGCTGAACTATAATTTATTATGTAAATTATAGGCTTTGTACTTCAGTCGCGTTCCAACGGTGACACTGAGGTGGGCGCGCTGATTTTTGGTTCACTGTATTTTATTTTGATAAAGTACCAACTGCGCTGTCAAGTTAGCAATGCTGGAACTGATGTGTTTTGTGTGTGTGTGTGTGTGCGCGCGCGCGCCGGCGCGATCACTTCAACTGGGTCCTTATACCAGCAGAATCAACTTTATACACTTGTCTTATTAATAATGCATCACTGTATAAAGGACTGCTTTTATTTGTGTACACTCACAATGAAAACAAAACATTGGGCTTTTGTAAAATAAAGAAAACAAATAGGATGTCGCTTTCTGCCATTTGAGTTTCCTTTCTGTGAACAAATTAAGCTGTCACAAAAATTAACTGAAACCGTATATAGGCTACGTTACGTGTCGCACTGTTTTTTTTTCTCTTGTTTATCTGTAAACTAAATCAAATATATTTCAAGAATTTATTCCTTGTATGTATATATGTACTGCAGATTTTATATATATAACATAATGTAATAATATTTAGTATTTTCACATCTAGGTGGAAAATTTTTAATTTGTACTACTGTCTGTTCAAAATAAATGAAAAGAAACCTAGCATAGTAGATTTATTTTTTCCCTGTTGTACTGAAATCGTATCGAACTGTGACATCTGTGTACCGTTCCACCTCTAATCCTTATAAAAGTTGTTCAGTCAAAATCAGTGAGAGATTTTTTTCTTAGACAGAAGTCTGCTTTCACTTTAAGAACGAAAGTACGGATCCAATATACTGATGGCAGCATGATAACATTAAGACATAGGCCTAACCGACTGTGTTTACTAGGATATTCGCCAAGGCGCACGTTGATGTAATTTGGTCTGTATTTGTTCATCCATGCACAAAAAAGTGAAAGGGAGCTCAAGTATTAGCGCGCTGTCGATACGGCTGTCTGTATGCGTGTGCTTTGTCACTGCGCTCTGAAAACTTCTCTCAAGGGCTCGACAATTCCGTCAACTATCCCGAGTGTCTTTTATGCTCGCCCTTCAGGCAGTTTTATTGTCCCGACATGTGAGTTTGAACGAGAATGCAAGCGTTGGCGGTAATGCATAGACGGACATTGGGGAACATGTGGACAGTGTCAAAATAAGGTTATTTATACTACAGATATCGATATTTCAAGTGTGGCATCGATGCATCGTATCATTAGACATTTAATCAATGGATCGTTACACCCCTATTCTACAGCTATGTTTTAGAGTGTGCCAGCTGTGGCATCATCTACCGCAGTAGACAGTACTGGATGGGCAACCAGGATCCAGAGAGCAGTGTGGTGCGGCCAGAGGTCAAGCATGTCTGGCAGGGGGTGAGTTGTTTTTCTGTGTTCCCATCCATGTGCTGACTCCATTGATGCTCACAGTGGTTAATGTTGTTTTTATGCTTGTAGACCGATGCCTTCCAGACAGACCATCAGAATGCAGCTCAGCGGGTCTTGGATGGAATGAATTACATAATCCAATCAGTGACAGAATACAGCTCAGGCCCAACTAAAGTCGTCACTGCCTGGCTCACAGACCAGGTGGCTCCACCCTACTGGAAACCCAACTCTGAAATCATTGTGAGTTGATATGCCCTATAGGAATAGGTGAAAGAGAACACCTATTGTTTTATTATGTAAAAATATCATGTTTGTCTGTTCAGGAATGTCGTGGTTGTAAAAGAGCGTTTGAGGAGGCGGAGAGGAAACACCACTGTCGGGCATGTGGGGAGGGTTTCTGTCAGGCCTGCTCCACTCACAGCATGCCAGTGCCCGAGAGGGGCTGGGGTGGCAACCCTGTACGAGTGTGTGATGCCTGTTACCGGCAGGGAGCACCCCAGCACACTGGACAGGGTGAGGACATCGTTCTCTTTTAAAATACGCTGTGATGGTGCACCAAGTAATTCTTACACTTGCAAAGTTTGCATTACCATTCAAAAGTTTGGGGTTGGTCAGATTTTCTAAATGTTAAAAAAAAAAAAAAAAGTCTCCTAGCTCACCAAGGTTGTATTTATTTGGTCACAAATACAGTAAAACAGTAATATTGTGGAATACTATTACAATTTAGTTTTTTTCCCATTTAAATATATTTTCAAATGTAATTTACAAAGCAAAATTTTCAGCATCAATACTCCAGTCTTCAGTTGTCACGTGATCCTTCAGAAATTATTCAAATATGCTGATTTGGTTCATTGATTATTATCCATGCAATTTGCCAAAAATTGCACTTTGCAATTGCAATAAATACTAGAAGTTCATGTAAAAAAAAAAAAAAACATCTATTGTAGCTTGTCAGACATATAGAGTATGTAAGAAATTCAAATTTCCCTCTATTTCTTGTATTTTATTGTTATTTGTTTTGTTTCTCTCTCTCTCTCTCTCTCTCTCTATATATATATACATATATATATATATGCACACACACACATATAATAGTCATGACTATTGCTTTTTTATGTGCTTTGACTTTTTGATACTATATGTCAGGTTCTCAAACCCTTGCAAGGGTAAAAAGGGTTTCTCACACTTCTTTTTCAGTTCTGCAACAGTCTAGTTATTTAGATCCAAAATACTAACAACCAAATATAGCTGCAAGCAGCGATTTCCGGGGTTCAAGCAGTTAAGGCATTTAAGCACATAAGGAAAAATATTTTGTGTTAACAGGGCTGTAATCACCTAAATCAATGATTAAAAATAGCATTTTGGGCAAATGCAGGTAATTTACCAAAGAAATATGATGATTTTTTAACAGTTATGACTGTTATAGCACCACCTATAGTCCGATCACCCTGAAACTTTGCATGCTTCTTAAGAGTCAGCAGTCACATGTTCTCACCACGTTTCGTAAAGTTTTGAGTTTTCGTTTAGGTTTTATAGGCTTTTGGGTATATCTGGCCACACCCCGTTTATAAATTACCTCGTTATAAGTAAAAAAGGACAAAATTCAACATTTTTTTGATAATTATTGATCTAGAGAGTCCAGAGAATATTACTGCAGTGGTTTGATCGCGACTGAGCGACAAACCTAGGACTAGTTCGCAAAAGTAGTTTTTTAACATATTCATGAATAATTAATGAACAATTTGATTGACAGCAATGGTTCTTGAGGCAAAGTTGTGCATTATGAGGAGATCTATCAAATGATATGCATATTGTGTGGATATGTGAAACAACACGTGATTACAGAGCCAAAAAAAACTTGTTAGCGCCAACTAGTGGTCGATTTCTTTCAAAAATCTTACAGACCTTTAAGGCCCTGAGTCGAACATGCCCACCGAGTTTCGTTCCGATTGACCTCAGTTAACCTTGTTTAATAGGTGCTTAAACTTGTTTGACCAATGGCGGCCATGTTTTTTTAGATATGCGAATGTCACTTTGGACCAAGATGCTGCATACCAATTTTCAAGTCGATCAGACCAACGGTTGCCTAGTTATAGCTGAATTTATGTTTTTTCTGTCTTATAGCGCCCCCTAGTGGCAGAGCTGCGCTTTTTTTTATTTGACCAAAGATTAAGCTCCTACATACATGTACCGAGTTTGGTGAAGATATCTCATTCCGTTCAAGAGTTATACTTCAATTGACATTTGGCTAACATTAGCATAGAGGCTTCTTGGCGTACTGTTTCACGCAAAAATCCAGCGAATATTTCTGCAGTGGTTTGGTTCCAATCGGGTGAAAAACCTCGGACTAGTTCACAAAAGTAGGTTTGGGATATAGGTAAATTTGACGGAAAAACCGTGCGTCGTAGAGAAAATTGAATGTAAAATTTTTGAGTCTACGACAAAAGGTGTACGAGTTAGGGCCAAAAGTAGTTATTAAAAAAAATATTTTTTTGCGCTGTAGCGCCCCCCTTTGGCCGATTGGGGTGAGCCTTTGTCAGAATGTCCCCTCAGGGAGCTCTACCTTCTGGCCAAGTTTCAGCTCTCTAGGCCTTACGGTTTGGTCTGCACGATCAGTTTTAGCGGAGAAAAATAATAATAAAAAAAATCCTTACAATTTCAATAGGGTTTCAGCACTGCATGCTTGAACCCCTAAAAATAACCTTGGGCAGATTTTTTTTGACTGTGAAACTCTAATTACGCTAGTTAAAACTAGTTAATGAAACAGTGAATTTGTCTTTCGATTATTCAGAAGATAAGTCCTAAAGTATTCATTTCTATGGGATTTGATAACTTTTACAGTACAAATTGTGCTATTGTCCACATATTTTCACCAATTCTGCATGTGCTTACTTATATATGTAATGCATCTTGCAGAATATTTGGCCTTGTAAAAACATAAGCAATATTCTCCAGGGTTATTGGGTTCAGTTGTGTTTTCCAAAACAGTTTTTAAAGGGGTCATATGATGCTGCTAAAAATAACATTATTTTGTGTATTTGGTGTAATGAAATGTGTTTATGTGGTTTCAAAGGTAAAAAAACATTATTTTCCACATACTGTACATTATTGTTTTTCCTCTATGCCCCGCCTTTCTGAAATGCGTAGATTTTTACAAAGCTCATCGGTCTGAAAAGCGAGGTGTGCTCTGATTGGCCAGCTATCCAGTGCGTTGTGATTGGCCGAATACCTCAAGCGTGTGATGGAAATGGTACGCCCCTACCATATTGTGATGCCCTGTCATGCCGGAGCGACGAGACAAAAACATTAAAACGCATTATAAACTAGGCATTTGTTGCATCCAGTGGGGACATAATTATGGATTATAATGACTTATACTGTCTTTTTACGCATTGCGTTGCATCGCTCCGCGTAAACATAAAACCATGTCTGCATTTGTGATCGAAGAAATGACAAACAACAAGCGCTACTCTACACTGCCCAAAATCTCGCGTTTGAATCATCAGTGGCAAATTCTTTAAATATAAAAAACTTACTTAAAGTCTGCGAGTCAGAAAAGCCGGCATTGTAGTCTACTCTACCGGGATCATGAAACAGTCCTCCATAAAATGTGCTGCACACATCTGAATATTTGGGTTGAACTGTTCTGGAACAGTGTTGTGGGCGGGCTTGAGAACAGCGCGGCTAGTGGATTCGACGAAGGAGCGTCCGGCGGGCTTGCGGCAACCACATGTGACGACCCCGGGCTGGACTCCGCTTCGTCCACGGTGAAAGC